TGTCCCAGGGCATTGTGGCTGCAGGCCTTCACATAGTTGGCATTCACGTAAACTGCCGGCACTTTGTCATTCTTGAAGTACGACACAAACAATGGTGTGGAAGGGGGTAAAGGAGAGAGTTAGAAACGGTGAGAGGCAAACGCCCAATTCTGTCATCATTCAGGCTGCAGAAGTTGGACCCAGTTAGCAGGTGCAATACTGTTATAAACCAACATGTCTAGATAAATGCTACGCAAGTAGAGATCATCGCTTAGGAGAAATATAAGTTTTCAATTGGGTAGGCGAGCCACATGCAAATCCTAGTAAAGAATTAATGATGACTGAGAGTGTAACTCTTCAAGCAGGTGCTGGCACTTACCGGAGGTCCCATGGGCTCCTGATCTCTGCGATACGTACTCCAATCGCGGTCCAGACGAACGATGCTCTGATCATCTGTTACGAAGACGCACAGGTAAGCAAATAGACGATTTAACAGGCAAATTGACAGCCGAAAGTGTTATTTCGGCCCTAGTAAAGAAATGTTTTTTTCGTTGGCTCGTGAATGCGCCCGATGAGATGAAGGGCCACAATCTTCATTTGTGTCTTTTTATTTTTACCTTTACTATTTTCCCTTAGTAATCACGCCTTCCCAAAACCCATTCCTGTGTTTGGCCACTGATTCCTCTATATTACAAGTGCTGTCAATAGTACTACTTTAATCACAGGAATGGTAGAATATTACTATTTCCAATGAATAAATTCCTTCTGATTTTCTGCGATTAAATCGAAGTTTTGTTCAAGCCGGATTCCCAAAGACCAGGCGATCGCATGTGCTGCTCCCTTACGCCCACGCGACCCTCACTCCTCAATTACACACATATCATGTATCTGCTCTTACTCATCCCTTCTTCTATTTTCATGTCTCTGCCTTCTTACTCCTTCCTTGCTTTTACTTATTTATCTTCCACTTGATCTATCGAAATTTCGATCACTGCCGATCATAAATTCACTGACTATTGACAGAAGGTCAGGCAGGCTCTATTGACGGAATTCGCGCCACCCAGACAAGCAAGTGTCACGGGTGAGGCGATTGGGTGGGCGGATGCTGGGAAGGGGAGAGACTGAGTTATGATATAAATTATGCAGACAATTCTACGAACTTACAGGGCGTCATGTTCGAGTAACGGTTCAGCTCAGGCACCATGGCAGCCAGTTCAGCCGACAGACCGTACTCCCGAGCTTGCTGACTTGAAAGCTCATCCAGTGTCTATAATAGACATGGAATAGACAGAACTGGAGAATCTACGCTTCACATTTGATGCTTTAAAGCGTACCTCGCTGAAGGCATATGCCACTTACATCAAATTCATGCGACAGGACGGCATCACTTTGTAGTTTCTGAATGTGGGCATCAAGCTCGTCAAGCTTAAGGGGTGGCGGCCTAGACAGCCAAGAAAAATAAAAGTAAAGTAGCTGGAAGCCAATAGTAACCTGTGAAGTTAATGTACGGTGTGTATATATGCAGATATGGATTAGTAGCCGTTCTACAGTCCACCTGCTTCAAAAGCTTGACGCCGCAGACGTGATCTGGCAGGGTAAATCGTGGTCGCCCAGACGCGCTCGACCGG